AGAGGAATATAATATCTTGTGAACATGTTTTATTGATATTCATATTCAATCTGAAGTTTTTATGAAATCAATCTTCAGTGGTTTCTTCCAAGAAGATACAGTCAAGCCTGTGAATGAGGCATGAAATAGGAATTCCACCTAAGCAGACTGCTCGCCTGCTGTGACTGAGCATGATGAGAATTGCTTATCCATTTTATTCGTGATATAGCTAAGTGTTTAGATGCTTAGATATAGGTATTCAGTGTTCAGTGAATTGAAGAAACTGTATATGCGTATATATATATGTGTGTGTGTGTGTGTATACACGTATATATATATATATGTATATGTATACATATATGTGTGTGTGTATGTATGTATATACAACCCCCCATTAGACTAAGAAGGGAAAACATACAAGCACAGGGGTTTGTGTACAGACTAGGCAGCACGGTGAAAACTTTCTACACTGTAATTATAATAATAGAAAAAAAAATCTCACTCAAACACCTTATCATATTGGTACTCCACACATCCCAGGTGTCCATAATATTTATAGGGACAATTGAAAGTGTATGTATATAAAGAGCTGTGAATTTTTTCTTCCATTTCTACTGAAATGAGAGCGAGCAAAAGCACCAGTCAGAGAGGTAGATTCTGCATCCAAAACATGTTCCCAGACCTGAGTTGCTTTAAAGATTGTTATACTGCTCTTTAATTCTAATATCCTATTTTTTCTTAAATTTTTCTCTTAAATTTTAATGTCAAAATAGTAACTCTTATAATCATCATTTAATCCTCAAACCCCTTCTGATATAAAGTGTTCGATATTTGCTTTCAAGAAAATAAATGACTCTTTCTTTCAGGAAATAGACATTAAATTCTCAGCACGTCCTCTTTTGCTTACTCCCCATATAAAATGGACTGGTACCTACTCTGTCATAATCACCTTTTAGAAGTTGGTGACATGATGTTGAACATTTTTTGCTTTTACAGTGTACATATTCACTGAAAGACAGTCATGAAATAGTAAAACATTAATTCACCATAATTATATGTTAAACAAAGCAGATGTTTCTAAAGATTTTCACAATCTTGCAATCCCGGCAATTATAAGACAGAGACAAGAGGATCACCACAAGGTTTGAGTTTGCCTGGTCTACATAGGAAGTTCCAGGTTTATTTGGCAAGACTGTGTTTTTAAAAAGGAACAAGGAATGAGAAGGGTTGGTGTGCATACGAAAACGAGAAATAGAAAGTAGAGGTTGAGGAAGAAAGGCAAGGATAAGGAAGGGGGAAAAGAAAAAGAAGATGGAACAGCAGGAAGGAGGGAAAGAAGGGTCAGTGAAGAAGAAGGAGGAGGAGGAAAAGAAAAGAAATGAAAAGTTGGAAAAAAGAGTCTTATATGGTATTTGAGATTCTTGTCTATGTTGGAGTGATAATGAAACTTCTATACATATGAAAAACTTTGATGACACCAAGATTCAAGGATGTTTTCTAGCTCTATCCATTTGCCTGCAAAATTCAAGATGTCATTATTTTTTCTCCTGTGTAGTTCTCCATTGTGTAAATGTACCACGTTTTCCTTATCCATTCTTCAGTAGAAGCACACTTAGGTTGTTTCCAGGTTCTGGTTGTGCTCACTCATAAGTGCTTTTTAAACATAAAGCAAAGAAAACCAGCTCACAAACACAAATCACAATCCAGAGAACCTAGACAACAATGAGGACCCTAAGAGAGACATACATGATTCTAATCTACATAGGAAGTAGACAAAGACAAGATCTGAGTAAATTGGGAACATGAGGACCTTGGGAGAGGGTTGAAAGGGAGGGGAGAGGCAGGGAGGGGAGCATAGAAAAATGTAGAGCTCAATAAAAATAAATAAAAAAGATTCAGATTCAAGTATGTTTGAGTTTCCCATTTGCACATTCTCTGTGATTTTTAATATTAATCTCATGCTTCTTGCTCAGAAGGAAGAATCTGAATAACTTAAAATGTCATAGAATCCTTCTTCTGACCTAAGCCTATTTTAGTCTCAGTATTCAATGTTAACAGATCTCTGTCTTGTAAAATAGATTTACTAAATATTTGCTCAGCACTGCATTTCAATATTGGGTTTTCACAATTCAATTATCCCAGTTTCTTCTTATGTAAAATGCCTCCAGCCCTAGCTCTTTAAAAATGGTTCACATCCTCTTCTATTCAGGAAAGTTGAGCTACAACCCTCCTTCCCTAGTCAGCCCACACTAACTTCTTTAGTCCATTGAATTTCACTTGTTTGTTTTTAGTGTATTTAACTGTACACATGCCAGATTTTGTTCTTAAAGCAGCCATTTAATAAATTTGCCCTTGTCTTGCTAATCATAGCATGCTCCCAGCTTTTGCAGGTCTATCATGATACTATCATGTTTTCAACTTCCGTCCCAATGGCGCACATAGTACACCATCAATACACATTCCAGATTGATCATCATAGCAATCTACAAGGCAGTTCTATTAATGTCATTTTAGCCACGAGACAAATACCAAATGCATTATGAAAAAAATCAACATGAATTTCCTGTTCAAGTGCCCAATATCTCATTTGAGTACACAGCATCAATTGCATTCTGGTAATCTCCTTTCTGCTTCAATTTTATACATTTACCAATGATACTTAAAAGATATCATATTTATTTTTGTACTATTTTTTAAAAGTAATGACTGATACAGTGTTTCAGAATTTAAAGAAGCTGCCTAAATTGAATATACAATTCATTAAAATGACTTACATTATAGTGTATTAGTTTTTCCAAACAGGTATAACTATATATTCACAATAATAGTAAATATTTTTGATATTATAGTATTTAATTTATTATTTTCATTTGAATTTTTCTTTTGCTTTGTTTCATTATGTTTGGTGTGCTTTTTTGTTTTTGTTGCTTTTTTAAAAAAGACCTGTGAATTTGAGGATTATAGGGCTATTGATAATAAAACTTAAAACAACTTTGTAGAATTTACAATCAAATCTTCTGCCTTTATATATAAAAATGCAATATTTAAATCCTAGCTTAATAAATTCAATACAAAATTCCTAACATATAATTAACATTAATGCACTTGTTTTGTTACATAATGTTAAAGAGTCACTCATTTATTTGAAAACCATTACTTCTGGGGTTTTACCAGTATGAACACTAAGCTCTCACACAGAGAAAATGAATTTCCTCCTGACGGGTCTTCTAATAATGATTCTAATATACATGGTCTATATTTGTCGTCGGAAAAGTGTCTGTACTTGAAGCCATGAACATAAAAATTTCTCTATAAAAAGTGTGAAAAGGAGTGTTATGTGTATATTTCACTTGGGGTTTAGTAATTACATATAATATTTTTAAATATGATAATTTGCCTTTTAGTTTTGAGGGACTGTCTAGAAAACAAAAGCAGTACTTTTTTAAAACCTTTCTTGCTTATCCCAATTTATAAAATGAAGTGTAAAACTAGTTATAGCAGGGCCCATATATGTCAAAATCTCTCTGCTGTTAATTTGGACAATTTAGAGAAGAGTGGTTTACAGATTTTAAAAGTTCCCAGGCATAGAAATGCTTAATTAGTGTAGTTTTATTTCTATTTTATTCACATGCAACTTGGACAGAACAACTGTTATTTCAATGCATAATTGTATTGAGTCAAATGCATATAAAATATTTCAGAATAATGCTTTGCACATGAAAATTTTCACTGACTTTTTAATTTCCATTTAGTTTAGTAAACAGCTAAGTAAGTGACATCTTCCATGAAAATAAAATAAGGGCAGAGGCATAATATCAGGATTTTGATTTTTATTGGAGTGGCTGGGTGAAGGGAGGTGTTTGTGGTTTTTGTTGTTTGAATCAAAGTCTCTAGTACAGACTAGACTCAAACTTCCCATGTAACAGAGGATAACTTTCAACCTGTTATCTTCCTTTACCTCCCTAGTACTCAGACTGGTTGTGAGTCCTTCCATGCCCAATAGTGAAGTGTCAAACATCTGACCCAGCGCCATATAAATGCTAAGCAAGCACTCTACCACCTTGAGCACTATAAAATTTTTGAATAAAAATATTGGCTAGTAAAAGTGTAAAACCCAATGGGAAACTCCAGTTTCAGAATGACTATTCTACTTCTTCATGTTCATTGAGATGTATAGATATTGGGGCTGGTTTATTATGTTGGGTGATGATTTTTATTTGCAAATGTATTATAATAAAGCTTTAATAAATAAGAGAATATGTAAACATGGAATACCATAAGAAAGAACTGATAAACTCAATGTATCAAAAACATGCTCCATGGGTTAGTTTGCTAAATAGTTCATATAATAGTGACACCAGTTTAGTCTTCAACAGAATATGCTCCATGAGAAATGTTAATTTCAAATACTAAACGTTAGCTTACTGGGTTTTTAGTAACGCTGAATAGCATTAATATCATCAAATGTACCCAAGCAAATGTGCAAAGAAAGCAAGAGACTAGCAATATTTCTACTACTATGCTGATGGTTTTGTGAGTATGTGTGTTTGTGATGCACATCTAAGTATGGTGTTTGCTTGCAAGTAGGTTCAAGCATGCACGCAGAGGCCTATGCATGTGCTGTGTAGAGGTTTGGGATAAGTTCTGCTAGAACACTTGCATCGGTGTGTAAGACAGAGCAGGAACATGTGATGGCAACCTTCAGCATCCACATGTACATACTTGCATATGTGTACCTGCTGGTGCTCTTTCAAACGTATATAAAAATCAAAATCTGAGACCAGCATATGAGAAAAAATCAAGTGTTGGTCTTTCTGGATGATAATTGGTTTGCTTAATATAATAGCTTTCAGTTAAACATTTTTCTGAATATGTCATGTTTTCAATTTTTCTTCAAGGCTGAAAATATACCAGTGTGTATATTGCACAATTTCATTATACATCATCTATTTATGAATATCTGTTTTAGAATATGAAACAGATTTTTTATCAGATGAAAACTTTCTTTTTTTCCTTTGTAGGGAAAGGTGAACATGGAAAACCATATCCCCTTACTGAAGAATACCAGGATGACTCAGCTTACAGGGAAAACGGCTTCAATATTTTTGTCAGCAACAAAATTGCTTTAGAGAGGTCTCTGCCAGATATCCGTCATGCGAAGTAAGTGTGAACATGTCAAGTGTGTTTGTCACTTTGGTTATTTTGCGTTATTATTGTTTTTAACTTTTATTGGTTCTTTACGCATTTCACATCATGGATTCTGATCCCACTTGTCTCTGTCCCCTGACATCTACCCTCTGCCCTGGCAACCTCCCCAACAAAGCAAAACCAAATATAAAAGAAAAACTCAAAACCAAATAAAGCAAAGAAACAAAAAAAGAAAGAGAAAGAAGAAGGAGGAGGAGGAGGAGGAGGAAGAATAAGAATCTTTTCAGGAAGCTGTAGTGTTTTCCATTGAGACACATAATTCACCCTTTAGTCTGTTTGTGTTTGTTTCAAGTGTTAGTTGCCATGAGTCATTGGTCTGGTTGGAGGCCTCTGTCTTCTGCTACACCACTGATAATAGGCTTCCACTGGGGCTCTTCTTGAATATCCTTTTGCTGTCTTTCTGTGTCATGGAGATCCTGTTGTTTTGGGTTTGTAGGTTTATTGCCTTCACATGCTCCAACATCATAGATTCAGTGGATGTTAGGTTGGGCCAACTGGTTCTAGGCCTGGGTGGTAGCTGGATTGGTCAGCTAGTTAGATTTCCCTCCTCATCGCTATGTGGGTGAGCTATCTAGGACTGCCTTGGCTAGCTCACTTAAAGTAGCCTGCAACAAGAATCAGGGCTAGTTCTTCCCTCAGACCATCAGATTCCCCACCACCACCACCCAGTCACCACACATTCACATCACCAGGGCCAGTTCTACTGTTTTGCCCTGTGTAGCACCCTCTCTGTGTATTGCTGTATTGGCTATGGGGGAACAGTGGGGTTAGTGCTCCTCCTCTCAAGGCCTCTGGGTAGGCTTCCCTGCGTCCTTGACAACAGAGTCAGCTCTAGTGTGCTGCCCAGTCGGGAAGCAGAGGCTGCTTTCTTGTGTGCTGAAGCAGATGAGGGTCAGGGGTAGCTCTCCTGCTCTTGTGACCCCAGGGCCAGCTCTCTCACTTGATGTTATTATTTTTAAAGCATATTATTATGGTATATGTAACTGAAGTTTTTTCCTTTTTTTATTTTTTATTAAAAATTTCCACCTTCTCCCCTCCTCCCATTTCCTTCCCTCCACTTCTCCTCCCCCTCCCTCTCCAGTTCAAAGAGCAGTCAGGGTTCCCTGCCCTGTGGGAAGTTCAAAGTTCTCCCCTCTCCATCCAGGTCTAGGAAGGTGAGCATCCAAACGAACTAGGATCCCACAAAACCAGTCCATGCAGTAGAATCAAAACCCAGTGCCATTGTCCTTGGCTTCTCAGTCAGCCCTAATTGTCAGCCACATTCAGAGAGTCTGGTTTGATCACATGCTCCATCAGTCCCAGTCCAGCTGGCCTTGGTGAGCTCCCATTAGATCAGTCCCACCGTCTCCGTGGGTGGGCGCACCCCTCGCGGTCCTGACTTCCTTGTTCATGTTCTCCCTCCTTCTGCTCCTCATTTGGACCTTGGGAGTTCAGTCCAGTGCTCCAATGTGGGACTCTGTCTCTAGTCATTTGAATTAAAAATTACGTGTTTTGTAATATTAAGCGTGTTTATTTAAAATTAAATAATTTTGAAATTCGAAAAGAAGGCCAACATTACTCCTTGCTACAATTTTTAAAAAGGCAAAAAAGAAAGAAAGAAAGAAAGAAAGAAAGAAAGAAAGAAAGAAAGAAAGAAAAAGGAAAACGGAAGGGGCAGAAGGTGAAGCAGCACCTTCTGAGGTGAACAACAGACAGGGAAATGCAGCAGGACCAGCCTGCAGCTGTGAGTGGGTCATCATGGTGCTCCCAGTAATGGGCTCGCACACATCTGGACAGCAGTAACTTACTCTTAGTGAACGCCTAAGCAGAGATGGGGCAGGAAATTGAACCAGGATATAAAACACAAGGCCCACCTCCAGTGACCCATTTCCTTTACGAAATCACTACTTCCTAAAGATGTACAACTTCCCCAAACCATGCTGCCTCTGAGATCAGATCTTCGAATGCATGAGCTTGTGGCCAACATTTTGAATCTAAACCCTAACACGGACTCTGAAGATGATTGCAGTTTCATTGCCTATATTATCTTCATTTAAAACAAAATGTTTTTAGAAGATGTCCATACTTTTTATCTTTGACATTATGGATTGATGATAAATATTTTTTCTCTGGTTGACATGTTACCAGAACTGTATTTGGACATGAACCTTTAATGGACGGCTTTCTTAAGCTAGCATTTCTTTGGGTCCTTGGTCTAATATTCCTATATTAGGAGTAATTAGAATGAGTGATTACATGGTAGTAGTTCCTTTTTCAATTCCCTGTCACTTTATGAACTGCTTGTGGTTTGGCAATTGACAGAGAGTTATACTGTATATATTAATCCACCAACAATGCTGTCTGGAATCCTCTGGAAACCACCTCTCTAGAATGGCCTCAAGCTTACCTTTAAATTGCTAATTATGGGGGGGAGTGGAGTCTTTTGTGGTTTTCTGAGAGCTTATACAATGCCGAAAATCTGATGACACGCCATGTGAACAGCATTTTCCACCTCACTGGAGGCTCCCATCTCAGTCTCCTTTAAGAAACATTTGTACGAGAGCGAACAGGGAGCGAGGGAGAGAGGGTGGCAGAAGGGAGAGAATCAAATGTGCAGAAACCAAGAAAAATAATGATTAGAGCTATAAATTAAATATGAATTGTAAATATGTAAAACTCTGCGTTATTTAAGGATAATTGACCCTTAAGAGGGAAAACATTTTATACTTTAGGGGGCTATTATTTTATTTTCATCGCTACTTCATCCATTTATTTGACAAATACAATAATAACTGGGTTTCTTTTCAGAATCTGTTTTAAATTACATTTTCTGATATCTTTAAGTAGAGGATTAATGTGAAGAGCACTAAATTTATCTTAAACTGAAAACTCTATATATTGTTCTCAGCCTTTTATTCAGACCAATTATTCTCAGATTATTTACAATTATCTGCAGCAGTTCCAACTGCCCAAAACATTTCTTGTTTTGAGAAATTCCAGTGTCTAATTGTGCTCCATTAAAGACGATTATGCTGCATTGTTGACATAATAAATATTCTCAGACAATAATTTACTTTTATTTCCCTTCTCCCCAACATTTCCAAACTATTACGGTGCATTCGAGTGGAAAGCTCTACGGTTAGCAACACAGAAGCTGTGGAGGAAAGATGATAGATTGCTCTTTTCAGAGTTTATTTTTAGTGTGATCACAACATGAAAAAAAGACATATCCTTACACAATACCAAGAAGTAAAATCAAAATTTGTTTTATATCCACAGAGCTTGGATTATGAAGAAAATATTATTCTAAATGTTAAGAAAGCAAATAGTTAAAATAGCAATTCTAATGCTATGTTTGAGCTGCCATTTTATAATAAAATTAGTCAGTTAATTTTAGTTTAAAAGAATTAATAAATATATATTCAACTTTTAATTAAGATTCAGTCAATATGCTTAAAATATTTATCTTAATTATATATGAAATACAAAAATATGATTTAATACGTTTGACTCTTTAATGCTAACACTCATTCACAGAAATGTCTGGATGTAAGTAGCCAAAAGTTTTGAAGAATATTGCTTTTTATTCGCAATTATAATAGCTTTCGGGACATTTTGACTAGCAATAGTGAGTCTGCCTTCATGCTTTTATGGTAGCCTGCATTGAATTTCATGAAATCATTTCATTCAGTAAGTTCCCAAGTGAATTCAGCCACAGACAAACTAAAATGCTTCTCTCTGTACTCTAGCCAGGTGTGAGACCATCCGCGCAGGAGGTAGGAAATGAGGTCGTTGCATCAAATGCGGTTTAAGATCATTTCAAAGCACTCCTTCAAAAAGAGAAAAATCAATAAAGGTTACAAGCAACATGCTAGAGGAATGAATGGCCAGTAATTAACAAATACAAGTCAGCTTTTAAAACATATTTGAGTATCTTCTAGATTTGTCAGGGCTGTAAGTATATGCCCAAGTATAACAGTGTAACCATCAAGACATAATTGTGTTTCTAGAAGTCAACATCTAGATTTATAATGAAGTTACCAGGATAACAAATTTAACACATACCCCTAATCTTATGACGAAAGCCTGAGAAACAGAGACGATGTTTTATCACTGTAAGTGAAACTTGTCTATGACATCGCTATGGAGATGAAAACCTTCCTAGGAGAGATAACGGCTGGCAAGCTGTCAGGCATTCAGCCTTCAGCATGAATGACAGAGCCTGAAACAGACTCTTTGAAAAGTGAAATGAGGGAAAGAAGAAGGGCCCGTTGTCTCGGAGTGTTGGTGGAAGAACTGTGTACATAAAACATTAAACCATTTAGGAATGAGCTAGCCAATTTAAAATTGTATCTATTGAGTTTCAAGATAGTGTGTGTGTGTGTGTGTGTGTGTGTGTGTGTGTGTGTGTGTGAACTGACAATAAGAGTCAAATAAAAAAACAAAAATGCGTATGAGACTGAGAAATAGAGTCATATCTTGAATTCTGTAAAGAAAAGAGCATAGGTGTCAGGCATGGCTGCCCCTGTCTGTGATCCTAACATTTGAGAGGCCAAGGACAGAGCTGGAAGGGGTAAGATCCCTGGGCTTCATAGAGAATTCTAAGGGAGGCCTTTAACACGTAGAGAAAGAATTGGAATTTTTTTTTTGCAAATGCTATTGTAGCAAGCACAACTCTAAATTCACTATTTAATTTCACCCCCTTCAGAAGCTTCCAGAAATGAAAGACACTGCTTAAAACCATAACTTACACAGAACAAATGTGGGTCTGAGAAAAATTTTGCTGTTCTCAGGAAAGTGATAGACTTATTTTTCAACCAGTGAGCCATGTAATTTTGGGGCAATTATTGTGCATTTTGTCACTTGATGTTGGAATGGAGTGGGAAAAATATTATTGATGTTTGTGTTGATAGCCAAGGGAAATATGTATACCTAATACTAATGCAAATTTAAAAACATATTATGCTTTAACC